CGGGGGAAAGGTCATTTTCTTTGAAAATACACGCGCCAGCCGTATTGTCTTTACACGCCCCTGCGGACTTTCATACCCAGGTGTATGTCACGTATTCTGGCCAGAGAAGAACTTGCTGACTGTGCGGCGCTGTGGATCACATGGCGGCACAGTGTGTTCAGCGACAGCTGTTGGCTGGGCGTGATCTTCGTCCGAACGGAAAAGTGCCCCGTCGGGCTCCAGGAGAAGAGATGGTGGACGATTCACGCGTTGACTTTCGTGGAGTTCTGAGGTCGATCGGGCGGCGCTACTAGAGTCATCTTGTATGACTGCCAGGGACTGCCTCTCTTGATGATGTGGGACATGTGAGTAGTGTGCTGCCTCTAGCAAGAGAGGCAGGTGACATGGAGGCCACTATTGTATCTGCTTTGAGTGACCTTTTAGCACCCATAAGAACATGATTCTGTGACTTTGTGTGCCATTGCTAAAGTGTTCAGATGGGGTGCAAGTAAGCTTCGAAGGTGTTGATAAGTTTAGCTGAAGTCAGAGAGTTCTTTACTGTTGAGGCTGAAATTCACGGGGGGAAAACTCCCGGTACAGACAGGTCTGAGGATGCTTTTTTCTACGAAGCGTGCGGCGACCCTGCCGACTCCGATGATGTCTTGACCCCTGGGCAACGTTCAGGGAAAAAGACGTGGTCGGTAGTCACGGGCAGGGGGTCGAGCAGTTCCAGGAAGACAGGTAAAATCAAGGAGATTGTCAAAGGTGGGGTGAGTGCCTTGGGTGCTTGCCGACGCAAGAAGGGAAAGGGAGTAGTGGCCCCTAGAGGAAAGCCACCTTTGGCACAGTTAGAAGTGTAACTATTAATGTTAATGGTTTGAAGTCTGTCCAAAAGTGTGTGGAAGTGCATGAGTGGTTGACACGTTTTCCTGTGGATGTGTGTTTTTTGCAGGAACATAATCATAAGGAAGTTCGTTTGAGATGGATGGTTATGATAGTTATGTGTCCCACTCAAGACGTCTGAAAGGAGGAGCGGATATGTTAATAAAAGCGACCAGCCCACTTGTGATGAGACATTGGGAGGAGGGAGGGGAGGGGAGGGTGGTGTGAGTAGTGGGGTATTGGGGTAGTAGGAGGGTGGGTTTTGTAGGGGTATACAGGCAGGCAGAACATGATGCTAATATTAAAATTACTTTCGTTAGAGACGTCTTAGTGTATTATTTGAGGTCCCTGCCAGAAATTACAGTGGTTGGTGGAGATTGGAACTGTGTGGTGCGTCGTAAAGACATTGAACCGAGGGGGGCAGATTATTGTTCACTTCTTTTGGGTGACTTGTTGTCTGGGCTGTTGTTGAGGGATGTGGGTGGAAGAGTGGAATGGAGGATTGAGCATAGTTTCGTGCATAGAGGGTATGCGGCGCATACCCTCTACGTGTTGAATGTCTTTTTCTCTGATCATCATGGAGTTTTTGTGGAGCTCGACTGGGGGATTCTCCCGAAACGTTTTCATGGATACTGGAAGTTGAACACGGGGCTGTTGCAGAGCACAGATGGTAGAGCACTGTTTGCGGATCTATGGGCATCGATAGAAGTTGAATCCTGGGAGGGGTGGGATTTAGTGCAACATTGGGACGAGATTTTGAAGCCTCAAATTAAGGACTTTTATGTGCAACAGGGTAAGGAGGCCAATCACTTGGGGTACCTGGAGGGTCAACTACGGCAATGTTATGCACAGGGAGAGGCGTCTGGGGTTTACCCAGTGGATGGGATTAACACTATTAAAGATCAAATTCAGGTACTGAAAGACAAGCGTTTCGATGGGGTTCGCATTTCGGGTGGGGTTGAGGAGGCTTTGTGGGGTGACAAGCCGTCTGCCTGTGTCTTACGAAGTCAGACACGAGGGGGTAAGGCGACTGAAATTATGAGTTTAGTGATGCAGGATGCAATTGACGGGTATAGTGAGGGACAAGACTTAACGACAACTGAGGGGACAAGTTTTTATGTCGATAAATGGAGTAAGCTCCAAATGCAGAGTAAAGGTGTGAGGGAGCATGCAATACAGGTAATGAGGAAGGGAGTATGATGCGTGTTAGATGATCACGATTGCCTTCTCATCTGTGGACCTATATCTGAGGCAGAGGTGTGGGAGACGCTACAGGGAATGAGTAAGAGGAAGGCGCCAAGTATTGATGGCATCCCTTGTGAATTTTATATGCAACATTGGGAGGTAATTCGGGGTTTCATGGTTCGTTTACTCAATGCGATGAAGGAGGGTGGGGTGTTAGGTCTGTCTCAGAGTACGATTGTTTTGGTGTTAGTGATGATATGTGACGTGCCATTAGCTCGTCCCATATCGTTGATGTGCAGTGACTATAAGCTATATGCGAAAATTTTGATGAATAGGATTAAGAAAGTGTTTGATAAGGTGATCCATAAGGGTCAATTTGTTGTACCAGGTAGGTCGATGTATGATGGTCAGGGAATATCAGGGAGTTTGTTGAGGATTGCGAGGAGAGAGGGGGGGGGTGTTCTGGCTTTAGATCGGAGAGCTGCTTTTGATAGTGTGGAAAGGGAGGTCCTGTGGAGATTTACGAGATGGCAGGGATTTGGAAATGAGGTTGTCATGTGGGCCCTTTCGTTGTATAATGGGGCGGGTTTTAAAGTGCAAGTTAATGGGAAGTCAGGGGTTTTCGTACCATTGAGCAGGGGCATCCGTCAGGGATGCCCCGTGTCTCAAATGCTTTTTGCATGTCTACAAGACCTGTTTTACTGGACTGTATATGGACGGGGAGTAGATTCGTCTTGAGGTTTGGGCAGTGATCGACCGGCCCTTGTGGGTTATGGGAATGATACTGCTGTGCTATTACGTACGAGGGAACACTTACGTATTGTTGGGGAACTTGTTAGTGTAATTGGCGAGGCGACGGGGCTGTGTTAATAGGAAAAAATCGAAGATTATGGATTTGGGGGAGTGGGTGGGGGATGGGGTGGACGGTAGTTGATCGTCTCACTATCTGGGGTGTTCATTATATGTGTGAGGTAGACTAGACACGGGCGTGTAATTCAGGGAGGGTTGTAGATGGTGTCTTGGGGCGCTTAAATAGTTTCCGGCCGCGACATTTAATCTTGGATCAGAGGGCAGTGGTCATTAATGTCCTGCTTTACAGCAAAATACGGCATGTTGCTGCAATGCATCCTCTGTTGCAGGGGGATATCAAAAGTCTTTTGCATACAGTTTATCGGTTTTTGTGGGGCTGTGGTTGCTATTGGCTCACAAGAGCGGTGGTGGAGAAACCAATGCAGCAGGGAGGGTTGGGTCTCTTTTCCCTAGAGACTCGCGTAATGGCGTGTTATGTGAAGCATCGTTTTCTCCAGCTGAGTGGGATGCAGGATGGTTTAATTAAAATGCATAAAGAACTGCACAGGTGGTGGGGGAGAAGGGATTTAATTAGGTGCGAATGTATGCTTCACATGTTATTGCGTGTGATGGACCTGCGGTGTTAAATTATGTACCTTGGAAAGGGTGGGTATGGGGAGAGTCGTGGCGCGAGTAGAGGGAATGTACCCTATGTATGCGTTGAGTGATATTTGGGGGCGGGTTCAACTATTGCATCTGCCTGCTCATGTACGAGAAGTGGTCTTTAAGTTTTTACATGGGATCCTGCCGTCCAGGGTAGTGTTGTATAACAGGTGTTTGGGGGAGGACCGGGGTTGTCCGGCGTGCTGGGCTGATGAGTCCGCTTTTTCGTGTGGTGTATTTCTGTGAGACTTTAGATGTGGTACGTGCGTGGTTCAGTAGGGTTTTGCGCTTGGTGGGGGGGAGGAGGGTTGTCAGCGCTCCGGGCGTTGAGTTTTGATGTAGGCGTGGTTGACGTGCGTGTACAACGTACTGTGTCATATATAGTGGCCGATTATATTTAGGTGTCACGGCTATGAGGCAGGTCGAAGGTAACAGTAGGAGTCGGGTTTTAGCGGGAACGTTGTATAGGACAAAATGTCGAAAGAGAGAGACTTCCCGTCAGGGGTAATCTAACGGGCTGGTCAGCAGTGTCTAATTATGTATGTCAAGTGAGTGAATGTTTGAGTGATCTCGTGTTTTATGTGCGTCTCCTATATGATGGGGACGTCACTATATCTGTTAAGGCTTTCTATATACAGCTTTTAGGAATGTATCGCCGTTATTATTATTATAATCAAAAAGAAGCGCTAAGCCACAAGGGCTATACAGCGCTGCAGGGTAGGGAAGGAAGCAAGGGAATTGGATGGCAGAAGGGAGGGGGGAGATCAGCGGGTTACAGAAAAAGCGGGGGGGGGATTAGGGGGGTAGGGGGAAGAAAGATTAAAGTAAAAAGGGGCTAAAAAAGAAATCAAATTTTGTAAAGTAAGCAGTCGTTGTCAAAAAGTCAAAGAGGTCCGGTAAAAGGTGGGTCCATCAGGAGAAGGGAAGGTTAAAAAGGAGCACAGGGCGAAGAAGACAGAGGTAAAAATTTTGCGTGTCGTTATAAATGGGG